TAGAGCCTTATGAATGCGGTGTATAGAGTCCACAAGGAGCAGGAGCTCTCAAGATTAGAGCCTTATGAATGCGGTGTATAGAGTCCACAAGGAGCAGGAGCTCTCAAGATTAGAGCCTTATGAATGCGGTGTATAGAGTCCACAAGGAGCAGGAGCTCTCAAGATTAGAGCCTTATGAATGCGGTGTATAGAGTCCACAAGGAGCATGAGCTCTCAAGATTAGAGCCTTATGAATGCGGTGTATAGAGTCCACAAGGAGCAGGAGCTCTCAAGATTAGAGCCTTATGAATGCGGTGTATAGAGTCCACAGGGAGCATGAGCTCTCAAGATTAGAGCCTTATGAATGCGGTGTATAGAGTCCACAAGGAGCAGGAGCTCTCAAGATTAGAGCCTTATGAATGCGGTGTATAGAGTCCACAAGGAGCAGGAGCTCTCAAGATTAGAGCCTTATGAATGCGGTCTATAGAGTCCACAAGGAGCATGAGCTCTCAAGATTAGAGCCTTATGAATGCGGTCTATAGAGTCCACAAGGAGCATGAGCTCTCAAGATTAGAGCCTTATGAATGCGGTGTATAGAGTCCACAAGGAGCATGAGCTCTCAAGATTTAGAGCCTTATGAATGCGGTCTATAGAGTCCACAAGGAGCATGAGCTCTCAAGATTAGAGCCTTATGAATGGCGTCGATAGAGTCCACAAGGAGCATGAGCTCTCAAGATTAGAGCCTTATGAATGCCGTCGATAGAGTCCACAAGGAGCATGAGCTCTCAAGATTAGAGCCTTATGAATGCCGTCGATAGAGTCCACAAGGAGCATGATAGCGAGAAGTGTGGAAAGGAAAGTTCTTACTGGCATACGAGTGTACCGCTGGTAGGTAAGGCAGAGGAAGCTCAGTTAGGCAATAATAATAAGAGCATTATCCTTCGGGAGTGCTCGGTTCGACTCTTGGCCAAGCCGACGACTGGATATTTTTTGTGCTTCTCAGGCCTCCCAGACAAATTCCAGGATACTTCTTTTGGCTTATTTTGGACTTCACCCATCGTCCGGTATATAAAAAGACAAAAAACCACAACGTTTCGGAGACTGGATCTGTCTCCGTCTTCAGGTGTATAGGGAAGGTTTAACCTACTCAACTGGACCAGTGATTGAGACTAGCTCTTTCTAAGGGGCCCAACTGAGTAGGTTAAACCTTCCCTATACACCTGAAGACGGAGACAGATCCAGTCTTCGAAACGTTGTGGTTTTTTGTCTTTTTATATACCGGACGATGGGTGAAGTCCAAAATAAGCCAAAAGAAGTACAGTATACACCATCGTCAGAATCCTTTCAAATTCCAGGATAAAATCTCAAATAGACCACGACCTCTTTCTTCCAGATCCTTCCCAATTCAAGGCATTTTACTATTCTAACACTCGACGCTAGATACTGAGACCGTCGTACTATAATCCATAAAGAATAAAACATAGACCAGTTGCTACAGTGACAAGATCTAGGCCGGGTCGGGACAATCGGAGAAACGGGATTCGATTCCTCACAGGGACAGAGATTTATATATTTTTTTTCACAACGTCCAAACCGTCTCTGGGCCCTGTCAAATGGATACCGCGTGATCCCCACGGTCAAAGCGGTCGGAACGTGACGATGACCATAACCTTCATTCAAGCGCCGATGTTAAGAATACTTGGAGGTATGCTTCCGCTCCCCTATACGTCCTCATTGAGGAGTAGTTGATTAACCAGAGGCTAACTTCTCATGCAAGAGCATTCTAAGTTTCACTAGCAGCACTGCATTATCTGAGAATAAGTATACATAGCAGAAGTTCAGCAGTGACATTTTCGTTTAACGCTTAAAAGGCAAGTCAAGAGAAAGTTTAATTTTACTGTCCACTGTTTCACAATTAGCGTGAACTCATATTCCTTTAATACAGAGTCATCTATCGGAATGAGTCGGACGTGAAGTATAAACACCATAAAACAACATTTATTAAATTACTTTTCTATTGATTTTAGTGTTGTATTTACTGAAATTACCAGAAATGTCAGTGAAATATATGGCTACATATAAACGTTTTCTACAGCTCTTTCCCCTTTTCAATGTCCTTACAAGTGAAATATAACTGCCCATTTCCAGTGGAACTAATGAATGAGTTTCTCCTGTTTTGTAAACATGTTCATAGGCTTATATGGGGCACGAGGTAGCGGGTTGAGGCACTATGCTACAAGCCGGAAAGTCGCGGGGTCGAATCCCGATGAGGTGGATCTTTTCAACGTACCTAATCCTACCAGCCGCATTATGGCCCTGGGGTCGACTTAGCCTCTAATAGAAATGAGTACCAGGGATATTTCTGGGGGTAAAAGGTGGCCGGCGGGTAAGGCTGACAACCTCACAGGAATCTGTGAGCCGATTGTCTAGAAAATGTGGGAGCCTCAACGTCTCACAACCCTATGGGTCTCCACAGCCTGTTACAGGGATACGTTTACTTTACTTTTTACTTTAGTCATAGGCCTACATTCACGGGACTAAACTGTGACAACTACAGAGGTCATGTGATGTCCAATGAAACTGAAGGCTCTTACTTACTTCGTCACACTGAAAGCCCACTAGAAAGAACAGAATGCTGGATCCTGATTTGAGTTAGCACTTCCCCAACTAAGTCAGGCTTGTTCGCAGATGAAGCAACTTCTTCTGTATTCAAAACACATTAATGAAGAAGTAAGGTGGGAAGTGTCGGTGACGGTAGCCGCTCGGTTTAAGGGCTGGCTCGCGAGTTCGACTCGTGCGTGTATGGGGCGCATAAGGCATGAACTGTCTTCGCTCGCTCGGAAGACGAGACCGATGGTTCGAATCCCACTCAGGACATGGATGTTTGGTGTTTGTATATGTGTGTGCGTTTCTCTGTGTTTGTGTACAGGTGGAGGCCTTGCGGCGAGCTGATCACCCGCCCAGGGAGTCTTACCGAATGTCTAAGTTGTAGTAAACCGAAGTGAAACGGAAAGATTCATGGAGGTAGGCCTAGGCCCAAATTGGGGCAGTAGCGCCGAAGGAAAAAAAAACTGTGGTCGGTAACAGGAAATGTAAAAGTGTACATATATCGTAAATTTGTATGCAGCTCATTAAAATGGAGATAATTACTGAGATTTGGGGATCCATGGCGGTGAATGTTAAGGATTGTGGTCTTCTTATATGTGACGCCGTACAGCTTAGTGGAATGGTATTAACATTACCGAGGAATTTACTACCTTCACCTTAGGTTTGAACCTCTTTCGAAAGGTTGGTACCTGTCTACACTGCGTCACATTCCAGAAGACTGTAATCTTGAGATGAAATTTTAAGTGAAGCGTGTTTATTGCTGGAGATCTGAATTCTGTCTACAGTTAGCGATCGTACGAATTCTAAAGTACCTTAATATCGAAGTCGCATATTGTATTTCGCATGGCACTCCATTTGATTAAATCTATAGACCTTATATAAGAGGCACTGTTATACAACTGACAGACGTCACTCTCAGTTAAATGTTTCGTCAAGCGCACTCTGACATCGAAAATTGGCTAGCTCTGCTACAGAATCCCAGCGTGAACATTTTATTTCCGCTGTTTCAGGTACAACTGTTCAGTAACATAAAAAAGTAAAGTAAAGTTATCCCTGTAACAGGCCGTGAAGGCCCATAGGGTTGTGAGATGTTGAGGTTCCCACATTTTCTAGACAATCGGCTCAAAGTTTGCAGTAAGGTTGTCAGCCTTACGCGCCGGCCAACCTTTAACCCTAAGAACATTCCTGATACTCATTTCTGTTAGAGCCTGAGTCGACCCCAGGGCCATAGTGCGGCTGAAGGGTTTAGGTAAATTGAAAAAAAAAAACACCTTGTCGGAATTTGAACCCGCAACTTTCGGACTTTTAGCATAGTGCCTCAACCAACTATGCTACCTCGTGACAACTGTTCAGTACTAGAGAACAGATAAAGTTTTCCCTGTACTTAACTAAGTAAACACTATGGAATCAAGGCATATCGGTCGTGGATGTATAGATCCACGTTTTCCTGACCTTGTCACTAGTTGGAGGTGAGTGGTCAGCTTCATGCCCCGGCCACTTTACCCCCGGTACTCACTGCATTGGAGGCTGGGTGTGCCCCAGAGCCGGTCTGAACGACATGGAGAAGTGAAAATTCTTGACCCCCCAGGGACTTGGAACTCCGGCTCCTCGGTCGTCCAGTCAGTAGCTAGTCGCTATACCGACTGAGCTACCCGGCTCACGCTCAGTTTCAGTACAGATGATTTATTAGAGACATTAGAATATATCCCCACAAATCTGTAGAAAACAATTGACTTAGTAACAATTCAGCCTGGCGTAGGATTATTCCTCCTCAGTCTGATAGTCACTGACAAAATTGATAATCTGATAGTAAGTAAACTGCATAATGAGGAGACTTATAACTTGTACCCTTCTCCAAGTATAATTAGAATGATCAAGTCAAGGAGGATGAGGTGGGCAGGGCATGTAGCACGAATGGGGGCGAAGATGAATGCGTATAGGATATTGGTGGGAAAGCCAGAAGGAAAGATACCACTGGGTAGACCATGGCGTAGGTGGGTCGACAATATTAAAATGGATCTTAGAGAGATAGGATGGATGGAATGGATTGGATTGATCTGGCTCAGGATAGGGACCAATGGAGGGCTCTTGTGAACACGGTAATGAACCTTCGGGTTCCATAAAATGCTGAGAAATTCTTGAGTAGCTGCAGAATTGGCGGCTCCTCCAGAAGGGCTCAGCTCCATGAGTAAGTAAGTAAGTCCACTCTCAAGAGTAATCGAGAGTTCGTCTTAATGATCGACCCTTGACTCCCTTTCCGCATGGTGAGATGCAGCATAACTCTCTTAGTGAACAAGAGATGTCTCTGGCTGTTAGATACTGACGGCGCACGCGGGTGGGCGTCTCGGCGCCTGTGTTTTGGCGTCGGGGTTGGAGCGGGTTGGGTGGGTGAAGAATATGAAATGCTGGAGTCGTAAGGGGAACCGGGGGAAAGCCGGGTGCCGCTGCTTGCTGTGGACTGTGGGTGTGTCAGAATCCCAGTAGTAGTACTGTGAGTGTCCCTCCAACTGCTAGAACCGGTCATGCCCGCGTTAACGGAATATGGACTGTCCAGATAGTGAGAAAAGTGACCAACACTGGCCAACTCAGGAGCTACTATGGATACAGCAGTATGCAGCCCAGGTAAATGACGTCATAGTTCTAACGCTAACCTTTTTATTATTAGAAGTTATAAATTGTGGGGGAAACGTTAGTGCCTTCACAAAACCATGCGATATTCCTTCCGATGACACCAAAATATATCTTCCGGCATTATAAGCGTTTCTACCTCAGTTACTACATCTAAATGATGACTAAGCTGTTGTCCAATACGTATATCTTATTTCACTGAACACGATGAGGTCTCGAAAAGTGACTTTTAATGTCTCCTTTAAATAATTTCGGGATCCAGGTGGCTTTAAGCAAGATTCAGCTGTTTCGACTAGACCTGTCTACGAGGTCGAGGGAAGGATTGGTTCAACATGCACGTGAAGTTGACACATACACACTAACACAGACACACACAACAGCCACGCCCAAATCAATACTTGGTGCTCACGTGACCACATTTTGTCATTCCACCAATCCTGTTTTCCCTAACCTTGCCTCGGGCACCAGCGGAAAATCTGAGAGGTGCAATGGACACTGTAAACAATTCATGCAAATCTGAAAATACATGTGACTATTATGGTAGGTAACATGATTGAGTGAAATGTTTACGCGCTGAATGTCGGATCCCACAGAAAACCATCTTTCTTTGTAGCTTTTGCAGCCGTCTGCTGTAGAAAATTCTCAAGAACTTATGGCTCATAGGTGGCCGTGGAGAGATCGCTATGTTTGTCAAACTAAGCGTGGAAACGATAGCACACCGTGTAGTTTACTGATAGGTACGAGCGTTAAGTAGTTCGTGCCTGCCACTATTTGCAGGGTAGAGGAAAGTGCACCCGAGATATCGATACCTATTTACTAGACTACACGGTTTCATATATTAGGACGTTCCACTTTAAGCTTTATGGAAACGTCATTAAGGACTTAAGGACTCAGATGATCCATGTACTCTTTGTTTTCTTCCGGCTTATCAGGATGATGTGTACAATTGTTAGGTTAAAATGGGGTCGGTCGAGTAGCAGAGGCAAATTCCTTTAGATGTGGGAGAATAAGGCGTAGTTTGTGAAGTGGTAAAGCGTGAAGTGTGACCCCCTGAACAAGCTGCATCTCCCAAATACAAAGACGGCCTGTGAATTTTGCGTCAACGGCAACATGCAGCTAACGAAATCAGTTCTTCATGAGGTCAGTGAACAGACTGCTCGGTCAATAGAACCTGCTTGCTTATAGTATGCTGTCTTACAATGTTTTCCATCCGATTCCAAATATTACATTAATAAAGTCTCGGATTAATTCATGAATTAACTGTAACAAATCATCTGACAGTGATTTTATTTTATATAGTTTCTGGTATGTATTAGCATATGCCGGTCACGGTGGCCGAGCGGTCTAAGGCATGCACTGTCTTCGCTTGCTTGGAAACCGGGACCGTGGGTTCGGATCTGTTTCCTGTGAGGTAAGAACTGAATTATTATATATTATTCTTATACACTGCCGGTCACAGTAGCCGAGCGGTCTAAGGCATGTGTCTTCGCTCGCTCGGAAGCGGAGATTGTGGGTTCGAATCCCACTTAAGGCATGGATGTTTGGTGTGTGTATGCGTTTATTCTGTTTGTGTTGCCATATTGAGGTAGCGGCCTTGAGAGGGCTCATCACTCGTCCAAGGAGTCCTACCATCTGTGAAAAATGAATACGTGGCCAGGGCCCTGAATGAGCTGGTAGAGACATTGAAACATATATTTTAGCATAAGTATTTTGTGCGTTCGCAAGCCAGAATTGCAGAAATGCGCACAAATTTCACTGAACTTTGTCAGCACGTTTCAGTTTGGGTTGAATTCGGACACAAACAAAAACCGGCTCAGATCCTTTGCATAACTTCTCAAACACAGATAAAGAATTGAAGGGTCAGACTTTCTAGGTGACACACGTCTATATAGAACTGGAAGTGTTAAACACATTCACAGATGCAGAACACTTCAAAGGCACATGCATGCAGGCAGTAGCCCAGGATTTTTATAAATAGCATTTCAACTACATTCTAAGGGGCTCTGACGATGGTGTATAACTCTCAGAATTACTGGGTCCATCATCCGTTATTCTAGAATCTAGAAAACATAAAGTTTCGGAAACTAGATGTATTTCCATCCGTGGAGAGGAAACACCTACTGTGTTGGGTCCCCTAGAAAGAGCTAACCTCTGTCAGAGTGAATGAGATTAGGGGACCCAACTCAGGTGTGTTCCGCTTCATCTGAGGACGGAAAGAGATCCATTTTCCGAAACGTCGTGTTTTCTGTTTTCTAGAATACCGGACAATGGACAAAGCCAGGAAAACCCAGTACTTCTTAGAATTTAAACTATGCATAACGTCAAAACTAGATAAAGCGTAGCCGTATAATTTCAAGAAATATTTATTTATAAACTTTATACGTGTCATGTAAAGCTATGGGACACGCACATTTTATCATCATACAGACATGTCAACATGATGAATTGCTCCTTTAATGTTTGAAGAATACAACAGGGTACATGAACTGGTTTCGTGTTACTGTACGATCTATTCGAAGAGCATGACAGGAAAAGCTGCAAACTCAACTGAAGCAGTGTGCATTAAGAAACTCCCATTCATTCGGAAAACTTAAAAATTGGTAATAAACAGTGTGCTTGTATGTAAGTCACATTTCTCCTAACTAAAATCCTAAGAATTAAAATATAGAGAATTATAAATTTCGATGAGAAACCTGATTACTGTTTCCAAGGCGAACACGAAAATAGACCGTACTTGAGGAAAGGAGCCTAAAGATAATTGAACCAAAGAAATAGGATGCAACAGGAGGCTTGAGAAATTAGGACACCCTAAAATAAGGATCTTGTCGATCATAGCGGCCGCGTGGAATAAGGTATCAACACTGGGGCGTGGGTTCGAATCCCACTCGAACCATATATGTCTGTTTGCATTTGTTCTATGTTTGTGTTATTGTGTGTATAGGTAGAGGCCTTGCGACGGCTGATCCCCCGTCCAAGGAGTTCTACAGGCTGTGTATAGGATTAAGAACCTCAAACGCTGCCGAGGACCAACAAAATGCTGTAGAGCCATGGATAAAATTAGGAGTTTATTAACGTACAGTCTTAATAAAATATTCTTGTGTGATAATATGGACATACAGAACGCATGAAAGCAATTAAAATTTACTTTCCTTGCGTCTATATAAGCTTCTCATTAGCATGACCATATGATGATTCAGAAGATCTATAGGACAGATATACAAGTTAATGTTATCTATGTGAACAGGCTATTACTTACTTACTTATGGAGCTGAGCCCTTCTTGAGGAGCCGCCAATTCTGCAGCTACTGAAGAATTTACCAGCATTTTATGGAACCCGAACTTTCATTACCGTGCCCATAAGAGACCTCCACTGGTCCCTATCCTGAGCCAGATCAATCTAATTCATACCATCCCATCCTATCTTTCTAAGATCCATTTTAATATTGTCCACCCAACTACGCCTTGGTCTTCCCAGTGGCCTCTTTCCTTCTGGCTTTCTCACCAATATCCTACATGCATTCATCTTCTCCCCATTCGTGCTACATGCCCTGCCCACCTCATCCTCCTTGACTTGATCATTCTAATTATACTTGGAGAAGAGTACAAGTTATGAAGCTCCTCATTATGCAGTTTTCTCCAACCTCCCGTCACTTCATCTCTCTTCGGTCCAAATATTCTCCTCAGCGCCCTGTTCTCAAACACCCTCAGTCTGTGTTCCTCCTATGTAAGTAGGCTATACAGTAAAGTATTACGAATCCACTGTTGAGCACGATTGCCTGAGGGTACAGAGAAGTTCAAGCGAGGTAAGATTCATAATTCGTTCCTCACATTAATAGAAAACTTCAGTCAGGAAAACGAATCGGTCACCTGGGAGACCTAGATATAAATGGCTTTTTGAATACAGGATGTGAGGACATGGACGGAACTCATCTTGCTCAAGACTGGAACAAATGGCTCGCTCTTGTGAACACGGTAGCTCAGCGACTATCAGCTTCATAAATTTATTGTTTATAAGGATTCTCAATAACCATCTTTTAAAACAGAACGTTGCTTTCTAACCTGTGTTGGTTTGAGGCTTCTCAGCTGTGAAAACAAATCCTTCGTGCCCCCCCCCCAAGCTCATAAAAATGTACTGAACTGTGTTCTAGCAATTTAAAATTAATAATTAGTAAGGAGGGTTACTTGTGTCTCCAAAATATTATTTTATATTTTCGAATTTTTGTCTATAATTTAATGGTGGTATTTTGTTTTCAATAAATGAGAACAAGACGTTTAGTTCCGAAGTATTTTCGGCGACCCCATTTAGAAAGGTTCATGACACCATGTCGGGTTTCAGCCCCAAATTTGGAGAACGCTGATGCAGATCACGGTTAGTGTGTGCACGTATAGAGAGTAAGCACAGAACAAGAGATGCAGTCAAGCATTACTGCGACTAGTGACTAAATCCAGAACTGTTACAGAAATGTTTCGCTGTTTTTGAGAATTATTTCCTTTAAAACACAGCATTCGTAAGTTCCGTGTAACAAGAACACAGTTTCTTGGATCTGCGAGCTTAAATCCTCATAAAATTGTAATGCCAACATTGAAATATGAAATAGGGAATTACGTAAAGGTAGCCGGAGAGTTGTTAACAGGTTTATTCGATCTAAATAATATTCAACCTAAAAGTATTAAAAATTCAGTTCCTACCTCACAGAGAGCGCGCTGTGCCTATGTTAAAAGAGTACTCGGTTAATGTTGTTCAGGGAAATAAACTCTGTTTACTCTTAGAACCATATGAAACACACAGATACCCTCTGTGCGCAATAAGCAAAGAGCAGATGCAACAAACACTGCGCTTTAAAGGGCTACAGGAAGATTCGGTTCTGTTTCTGACGTATGCGTAAATATTCCAAAGCTTCTCTGACCCAACCAGAGATTCTAGATCAGAGTAAAGTGTAGTGTTGCTTCGTATTCAAAAAGTGCAAGGAAAAGATTAGGAATTTTATACATGA